TCTTCTAATTAACTTCATTATTTAAAATTACACATTCAACAAATCCATAGATGTTTAGTAGTTTCTCCTAATAAGCTGTTCTTTCCTGTTTAATTCAGGTTTCAGGATAATTATGTAGCATTTGGGGAAGAAAATACAAGCCAGCAACCCAGCACTGGAGGCCACAATGGAGAAGACCTCCACAGCCACCATGTGCTTCCCCTTTGTGCTCAAGTAGGAGGGCACAAAGGATAACCAAACACTGCAAAACACCAACATGCTGAAAGTGATGAACTTGGCTTCATTGAAACTGTCTGGCAGCTTTCTGGCCTGGAAAGCCACACTGAAGCTGACAATGGCCAATAATCCCAGGTAACCCAGGACACAATAAAACATACTAACAGAGCCTTCATTGCATTCCATTACAGTTTCTTCATTCATAGAGTACATGTCAAAATCTGGGAATGGAGGAGCAGTACATAGCCACGTGGCACAAATACTGGCTTGGGTAAAGGAACAACCAAGAAGAATAGAATTGGACAATCTTTTCCCCACCCATTTCCTCATCCTGGATCCTGGCTTGGTGGCCTTGAAAGCCAGAACCACAGTGATGGTTTTGGCCAATACGCATGAAACAGCCACAGAAAAGATGATACCAAAAGCAGTTTGTCGTAAATAGCAGGTCACTGTGTGAGGCTGCCCAATGAACAGCAAGGAGCAGAGGAAGCAGAGGAATAGAGAGATGATCAGAGAGAAGGTGATGTCCCGATTGTTGGCTTTGACAATCGGTGTGTTCCAGTGCTTAGTGAATATTGCAAACACCAAAGCTGTGATCAGAGAATAAAACAGAGACAAGAAAGCTAAAGTGAACCCCAAGGGCTCTGAGAAAGAGAGGAAGTTCAAGGTCTTGGGAATGCATTGATTTCGGTCCTTACTTGGATATTGGTTTGGGGGGCATTTGAAGCACTTGTCCATGTCTGGAATATTAAATACATATAATATAAATTCATGGAGTCCTGAGAAATATCCTGTAGAAAGAGGAAGTTACCATTTCTCTCTAATTCCTGGTGTTCTGTGAGCATTACATTGGAAATAGTGATAGCTTTTGAAATTTTGATAAAAGTGGAATCAACTATACAGCATGTTGGGGTTATGACAGCCCTGAGAAAATTAGAAAATGCCATAACCCTCCAATGATCTTATTGGAGCAAAAGACACTTATGTGCTGCAGCCCAGAACTTCTCCTCTCTCAGATAATTTGGCACACATATCAATATATACTAAATGTTTCAGATCTAGGGAACTGTTTAAAATGCTGCCATACTTAAAATTGGAAATCAGTTACAGTACTGATAAACTATTTTTCTTTTACACAGAAATTATGACAATAATGATAAAGAAGTTGGTTATGTATTGAATATATTCAATTTGTCAAATCTTATGATCAATTGCATCAGTTAAACTGGTCTCAACATTCCCTTTAAATGGTTTAATAGATAACTGATTTTTTAGTGATGAATTGGGTTGTTGCTTTATTGATTAAGCTATGCTCTAAATGCTGTAATTTGCCATGAGGAGATGGTGGTCATGGTGATAATTATTCGCCTGTTTTAGAGAAATAAACTGCTGCTATGTCGAGTATGGGGAGCTGTACTAAATTATGTGGTATACCTATTTTGCTTGAAGCCATCCCATCAGGACATGGAACACAATCATAGCAACAAAATGGCTCCCCCTCCTTCTTTTTTCTGCTGTAGCCTGGATGGCAGTGGTCGTTACACCTGGCAAGGGGCAGCACCTGTACATACAAGGAGAAGAACAAAACTGAGCGTATGGGGGGGGAGGGGGTTCGTTTAATTTCACTGCACACAGGTGGTGTAGTGACAATAAAGGTTTATTATTATTATTATTATTATTATTATTATTAGGGGGCAACACTCCCTTCGAGAATTTTTTGACCTCAACCTAAATAAAGAAACAAATTTAAGTGTAGTGTGGGATGCCAGCAAGGCAGTAATGAGAGGTTTTTAATTCAGCAAAGTGCCTTTCAAAAAAGGGAAAGGGAGAAAAAGAAACAGGAAATATATATGTTTTATTGGAAAAGGAGGAGTTAATTGTAAAACTAAAGGACACAGATATTTCTCAAGCGATTAAACTCCTGCAAGCACAATTTTCAATGTTAGTTAACCAAGAGATCAAGCAGAAAATTAAATTAATGAAACAGAACATTTTTGAAATTGCTAATAAACGTTCTGAAGAGACTCCTCATGAGGCCAGAGGAACATTGCCCGGCTATGGGGCGTGAAGGCCGTTCCCTGAAAGACCCTTTTCACCTGGCCTAGGTAACGAGGCTCAGACTCACCAGCCCCACTGAAGAGGCTCCTCGTGAGGTCAGAGGAACATCGCCTGGCTAGTATTTTACTGATTTATTGATTTAATATGCTGTAAACTGCTTTGAGTTTTTTATTAAAAATATAAAGCAGTATAGAAATTTAAAAATAAATAAACAACCTTTTAAATTGCTAGCATAGCCACTTAAAGAAGAAAGAATTAGTGGATAAATAATATTGTAGACAAAGATAAGCATTTGACTAGCCCAAAAGAAATAAGTAAAGCGTTTGAATTTTTTAAATATACTTCACTATACCACTGTGAAAAAGAGGACTTTGAGAAAATGGAATCTTATCTGAGCGACTGTAATATACCTTGAGTATCTAAGGAAAATCGACTGGCAAATGCACAGCTGATGATCAGCTGATGGATGATCATTACTTGCAAAGCCCCATGCTGAGTGCTTCCCTAGGACTGGTGATTGACAATGTCAACAAATCCTCATTTCCCCCAGCTGCTGCTTTGCATGTCCCACATGAGGTAAATGGTTAGGCTTCTCATAAGTAATCATGTCTGCACAGTATATGATCAAATCCCACCTGATTAAACATGCTGTGCCACCTGATGGCCTCCTTGTTAAGGGTGATTTCTTCATGTGGCAAAGTCTGTGAATCCATCCTTCCAACTTTCACTCGCAAGAACGATTGATTTGGAAAACTAATCCAGTTTATAATATCAAATCCGGCTTCTAATTCACCATTCTTGTCAAAAGACACTGTGTCACCAGCACTGTTGTTAAATGAGATGCTCCTCAGGAAAGAGTGAAGCTATATTGAATGAATCAAACACATGCTTTACAAATTGATGAAAGGTGAAACACATACTCCTACTATTGAGAGAGGAAAGCCATTCCACAATGGATATTTAATCTTTGTCTTTTCTTAAATTCCTCTAAGCACTATCCAATGTAGTAGTGGAAGGAGGGAGGCAGAAACAAAGGAAAGTAGGCAAGCTTTACATGATTTGATAACTTCATAGAGGATAAGGCTATCTTTAGCTAGTCTGAATATCAGTTACTTTGTGCATGAGCGGTACAGTGCATTTTCCCTCATGTCCTGATTGTAGGCATCTTTTTGGCCACTGTTTCTACAAAACACAGGACATCATCACCATCATCATCACTATTTGTTGGGTCTGATTCAGGAGACTATTTTTTTTGTTCTATATTCATACCTAGCTACTCCAAGGTTCAAGGTGTACAGCCCTAATCCTAGACTCCAATTTCTTCCAATATATCATCTCCATCTTGTAAGAGGTAACTATGTTTGTGTCAATGTATTCATTGCTCATTTGCTTTCTCATTTCCCAGAGATCATTGTCATTTATAAGTTCACATTTCCTAAACCCATTTCATTTACATCTCAAGTTTCCTGAATTTGCATCGGTTTCCAGTGCTACGTTCCAGACACCTTAAACCTTTCTCCTTTCCTTACATGGTAAGATTATAATTCCTCACCTCCCTATGTAGCTCACTTTATTTTTTGCAGAAAACTGATCAAATTAAGCATTTTGTGCAGCAAAGTGGTGCCTGTGAAATAGATTTTACAAGGCAGTGTCATAACTCCAGTAACAAGTTTATCAAAATCACATTTCCATTAGTGTGATACTTGTATACTTAGGGTGCACAAGTAATCAAGGATAAGTTAATGTGAGGTGGCAGTATTTAAGAGAAAGTCAACAGTGTTTACATATTTTGTTCTGTTGATCTACTCCATGAATTGACTTTCCTCACATATCAGATTAGCTATGATTTGTTTGTTTGTTCAGGATATGGAATCTTACTTGCCACGGTTGCAGAATTTGAAGACCCAATCTACATCTTTCCACTACTGTTCTCCATTTCAGATTCATTGAGTATATGTTATGTATAGCATGTGCTATTATCTGAACGGCATTATAGATACTGTAACTTTGGCCAGTCATGCTCATTTCAAAAATAGTGTGAGGAAGGCTCTGCAGATTCTCTTGGCCAGTACATGAATCAGTCGATTCTCTGTGCTCACTGGGATCAGAAAATATGCAGTTGAATGCATGCTGCCAAAAGATCTTGATAAAACCATCTTCTTTGACGGCATTCGGATTTCGAATCTTCAGGAATTCTTTAAACTCCACCACTTCATTTGAGTAAATTGCAAAAGACAAGGCACCATCAAAAACTTGGATATCAGAATCCTTATGCATTGTTTCTAATGAGAAGTCCCATTGGGCTGTCAGAATCCACACTTTACCCACAGCTATCTCTGTGTTACCCTCCAATATTGAAAAGAAATATATCAACCATATTACTGCTGTCATAGTCTGAGGTTCTGCACATGCAACCAATACTTTGACTTTGGAGATGGTCATAGAAAAGGACTTGGCCCGAAAGAGTCCTAGTGAACCTAAGTTCTTTGCCGTTTGAGACATGGAAGGTGTTTTTTCAGTGAAGGCTGCACAGATTCCATGCTGAGTGAACAGTGACAGCATAGTCTGTATGAACTTTTCTCCATTCTCATGATCTGATGCAATTATCCCCACCCATGTCCACTGGAAATACAGAAGGAGATGGACAATTCCTTTGTATTGATATACTTCATTTGGTACCATCCGGTAAAAAGATAATATCTCAGGTTCAAGTTTCATCACTGGAGCTAATACACAGTTGGCAATCTGAAAAGAGGAGAGGGAATGTTAGTTTCACCAGTATGCACACAAATTAAACAAAACAGTAAGGATTCAACCTGGATTACTGCTGACATGGAATCCATATGAAGGGGGGAGAGAGGGGGGGAAGAAAGAAAGAAAGAAAGAAAGAAAGAAAGAAAGAAAGAAAGAAAGAAAGAAAGAATATTGTTGAGTTATCAAGATAAGTGTTCTTGGGCCACAAGATCTGAGAGTATGAAAAGTACTAATCAATTGTTTAAAGATGCCAGCATCTTTATTGTGTTCTTGAACATATTTGTGGGATATCTGAAAATTTCTAATTATTCAAATTTCAAGTTATTCAGGTTTGTTACCCCAGCCTTTCCTTCTGGAACCTTCGAATGAATGTGCATACGAAGGCTTATACCCAGAACATACTTAGTTGGTCTCTAAGGTGCTACTGGACATTTTTTTTTTTTTTACTTCCAATGAATGGTTCAACACAATACTAGTTTGAGGTATCCTCATTAGAAACACCCAAACAGCAAATTAGTCAGTGAAAATAATCTAAGAATCCCTTGTGCATCATCTTTTTAAAACATATAAAGCACCCGCTTAGGATGTATGCTGACCTCAAGATGAAATTGTGTGTAAGTCCATATTCCCCATCTATATAATGAACAGGCATTTATATTTCTTCCCAAAAAAAATTTTTTATGAAATAAAAGCTTAATAAAGCCAGATACTTTTGTGTCCATTATTCATTTTCCACTAATGAAAAAGGACAAGAGACAAGTTCCAGAGGATACACTCTACCTGGGGAATTTTGTAGATGCCTAAGACAGTTGCCATGTGAAGGGAAATATCAGAGTAAAGTCCTCCAATGACAGCTATGATTTTCTTTTTCTTGTCACATTTGAAGTTGGGAACAATCCTTTCTGACGTGGACAGAAGTTTCATGGTGTTTTGATGAGTCATCCCTGCATTTGTGTAGCCATCATAAATGTGGAATCCCAGGCTTACATTTGGTAGGATCTTTTGATTCTCATTTATCTCTTTCACAGTGAATACCAAAGAGACAATGTGCTGATAATTTTTTGGTGTTGCACTAATAAAAATGTGATATTTTACATAAGAGAGATATCTATTCCTTCATGAAGCATTTTTCTTTGAAAATTCGGTGATATTATTAGGATGGAAGTTTGCATATTTAAAAATTCAGTCATGCCATGCATTGTACTTACTCAGACTGCTGCAAGGAACCCAACAAGAGCAAAACATAAATTTAAAACGGACAACTACAGTGACAATTTCTACCCAGCACAAGCTGCCACAAGCTGAAATCATTTATAATATGATGAAAATAACAGCTAGTCAATGCACATAATGACAAACATATATACATTCCACATCAATATTTTGCAGCTAAGAAAGCACACACAGCATCACTTATGCTCACTTAAAATTCACAAACAGGGACTCATGATGGGAGCTATGGTAAAAATATGCACTACAAAAAATGGGACATCTTGTATAGACAGCTTGTCTTGATAATATGCTTTGGGAACTTAGGCATATTGCTAACACTTTTCTGCCTAGTTTGAGGAAGACCCAGAAACCTAGTTGGGGTGAGTGTTTGGGAACTCCAGATAGTTCTATTTTCCTTTCAATTTCTCGCCTCCCCCTCTAATTCTACCCAATAAGGGTTTTAACTTTGCTGCATGAGTTGTTTTCTTGTCAGCAGGGACTGGTACAAAGGGTCACATTCCCTCACTGTGCATTTACGTACAAACCTGACCTATTGCAAGTTATGAAGGGCAAAGCACACTTACAGTAGTTCATACATGGTGCTGGTTTTAGGGTGTTCATGGAAAGAAAATTCATCAGATAGAAAGCCATACTGAGAAGTTATCTGTCCTATGATTAGGTCCCCTTTTTGATCATACTCATAGGGGAATCGGAATGGTTCAATCATAATGCACGTATTATTGTCTTCCTCTGTCTCTGTTGGAGGAAAATGAAGCCACAGAAAGAGGAATAACCACCACAAACACATCCCTGAAATCTTAGGGCAAAATGGGATCTACACTTCTCTTTTCTATCTATCTACCACCTTCAGCTACTTTCCTCAACCTTTCATTAAAGATTAGATTGGGATAGCTCTTCAGTCCCAAAGCCCCTTATCCTAGTTTTTAGCAAGCTTAGATATATTTTATATAAACATCCAGACTCTGTTTGCTATTGTATTTGTCATCCTAACAAATCCATATGGGACTTAAGAAAGTTGAAGATAAATCATAGGTATCTGATATAATTACAGGGTTCCAAATAAGTCAAAATACTCTCCTGTGCAAGATATTACTTTAAACATGTGCAATCTAGTTGGAGAAATGTGATGTGTAAAATAAATAGGGCCTATGGAGAAAACTGGCAGTTGATGACATATTCCCTAAAACTGAGGAAGAGATGAAGCTGACATACATTGGATTGTTGTTGTTTAGTTATTTTATCATATCCAACTCTTCGTGAACCCATGGACCAGAGCACACCAGGCACTCCTGTCTTCCACTGCCTCCCGCAGTTTGGTCAAACTCATGCTGGTAGCTTCGAGAACACTGTTCAACCATCTCGTCTTCTGTCTTCCCCTTCTCCTTGTGCCCTCAATATTTCCCAACATCAGGGTCTTTTCCAGGGAGTCTTCTCTTCTCATGAGGTGGCCAAAGTATTGGAGTCTCAGCTTCAGGATCTGTCCTTCCAGTGAGCACTCAGGGCTGATTTCCTTCAGAATGGATAGGGTTGATCTTCTTGCAGTCCATGGGACTCTCAAGAGTCTCCTCCAGCACCATAATTCAAAAGCATCAATTCTTTGGCAATCAACCTTCTTTATGGTCCACCTCTTACTTCCATACATGACTACTGAGAAAACCATAGCTTTAACTATATGGACCTTTGTCGAAAGGTGTCTCTGCTTTTTAAGATGCTGTCTAGGTTTATCATCGCTTTTCTCCCAAGAATCAAGCGTCTTTTAGTTTCGTGACTGCTGTCACCATCCGCAGTGATCATGGAGCCCGAGAAAGTAAAATCTCTCACTGCTTCCATTTCCCCTCCTTCTATTTGCCAGGAGATGATGGGCCCAGTAGCCATGATCTTAGTGTTTATGATGTTGAGCTTCAGACCATATTTTGTGCTCTCCTCTTTCACCCTCATTAAGAGGTTCTTTAATTCCTCCTCACTTTCTGCCATTAAAGTTGTGTCATCTGCATATCTGAGGTTGTTGATATTTCTTCCGGCAAACTTAATTCCAGTTTGGGATTCATCAATTCCAGCCTTTCACATGATGAATTCGAAAGTTAAATAAGCAGGGAGACAATATATAGCCTTGCCGTACTCCTTTCCCAATTTTGAACCAATCAGTTGTTCCATATCCAGTTGTAACTGTAGGTTCTTCTCCCACACAGAGATTTCTCAGGAGACAGATGAAGTGATCAGGCACTCCCATTTCTTTAAGCACTTGCCATAGTTTACTGTGGTCAACACAGTCAAAGGCTTTTGCGTAGTCAATGAAGAAGTAGTAGACTTTTTTCTGGAACTCTCTAGCTTTCTCCATAATCCATAATTACATTGGATAGAAGTGCTACTAATATTACTCTCCTATCACTTCTCCTTTCTTATGGCAGAAAGCTCAACACACTTACTGTGATTATCATGAAGCTGGTCTTGATTTCAGACCCAGGGACAGTGAAGTCTTGGGGAGGAGGAATCAGGTGGCAAATAAAGACAAGGAGTCTAATGTTGGATTAAATTAGTTAACAACTTTATTGATTGCAGAAGAACAGGCTTGGCATAGGCATTTAGCATGTATTCAATAATCCACCAACCCACTTTCACTCTTAAGACCTACCCTTTTGGGACCCAGCATGGCTATTGATAAGTTCCTGCTTTTGTCCCAGCATCCTATGCGGCAGCAAAGCAGGCCAAGTGCTTCTCCACCATGTGGCTGGTGTGGGAAACTGGCTGCTAACACCACCACTGCTGGGCTGGACTGCAAAGATTGTTCCTCATTAAGTATTTAGACATACCAACTAATATATGCTCAAATATTGATTCATGTAACTGTATTATAAATTGTTACAGAGTTGCAGCATTATGTGGGTATTTAATTGAGGTTGAGAATGGGGCGATAGTTCATGCTCTTCCTGTCCCCAGTGTCATGTCCTTGTCCGTGTTCCAAACAGTTGAGTATCACCATGTTCCAAACAGTTGAGTATCATCATCATACTAATCGTACCTTGCCCAAATGCCCCTAATCGTATGGATTTCAAATAGGTTTTGACAACAGTGCCCTGTGACACGTCGGGGTCACCAGATGTTGGGTTGAAATCACGACAGACGAGTGGTGAGTGTCAAAGGAGAGGCGTCTCCCCGGGGCAAGCCCCGGGAACTCTCTTTTATTGAATATTACAAACATTGCCACAGGTGTGCTTGTGGCTGATTGGTTGATACAAACACAAAGCATCTTGTTGCTGATTGGTTAACATAGGTACAAGGCGGGAATAACATATAACATCAATCACTGGTAGATTAAAGACTGGGAACGGAGCTGGAACTAGACAGGCATGAAACCTCCTAATTAAATTATAACTAAAGATTGATATTGAGAGAACATAACATGAAGGAATACAACAATCACGTTCCGTAGATGTGGTCAGCAATGCATTAAGAACAGGTCAGGATACACTGTTTCATGAACTCAATGGGAACTGTTCAGAACATTCTCAGACTCTTGTGCAGAAGCAGAAGCGAGACTTCCCAGAATCCAAGAGGAAAGAAGCAAGAGTTCTCATAGTAAGCATAGCAAGATTTCATAGTAAGACTTCCCACAATGCCACAGTTATGTGCAGTAAGAGAAACTGCAGAAAGAAAACTTCCCTTCATCTCCCCCTTTCTTTTCTTGTTTGCGAGGCGTTCTAGGTAGATAAGGCAAAAATACTTCGGGATTAGTGGTGTGCCAGCGAATGCCCGAAATAAGCTCGCCAGGGTCGATGGGACAAAAGTACTTCAGGATACGTGGTTTGCCAGCGCATGCCCAAAATAAATCCGCCCACATCTCCCCTAAGGTTTACTGTTGGTGTTGCCATTTCGCAAAGTAAGCAGCAAGGAGTTTACTGGGTGGTTGAGGGGGAGAGAGAAGCCGAGAGAAAAGACTTATGAGGCTAGGAACGCATTGAAGGAAACAGCATAGCAAAATAAGAATACAAATTATGAAAATAGCATATTGAAAGAGATTACGAAGCAATTCAGGTTTGGCAACCAAGCGGTAAGCCACTGGGTGAAAGAATCCCAGAGGCCAGGAAATCCAACGTCCTGTTTAATGTGATGTGTAAGATTTTGCAAATGAGAGATTTGGCTTTGAATGGCTCTAGAATTGTCAGTAATATTGAAACAACACATGTCATTCACTTGTTCACAGCCATAATGATGAAGCATGAGCAAATAGTGATAGCAGCACGATTTTGTAAAAGTCCATAGTGGAGTTCACTCTGTTCTTTATTCAAAAGGTGAAGAGCTTGTGAAGTAAAATTCAGGGTTTTTGCTGCATAACAAGCTAAAGAATTAATGTTCATACGATTCCGTACAGCCAATCCAGGGACTCCTAAGAGAGAAACAGCTAAGGAGATATATTCAGATCTACTGGGAAGAGAAATTGAATCATCACAATCATTAGTTAATTCAATATTGCGGCGATAAAATGATGGACAAACGGCTTAAACAACAGGGTGTTCCATGGCTGATGTTTGCAGGAATGTAATTAAATGTATAGCCAGGACACGACCAGAAGATTTCCAGTTGAGGGGAAGTGCAAGCTTACTCATTAAATTGAATGGTAGCTTGTAATTGCTGTAGCAAGTCTCTTCCCCACAGATTGAGGTGGATTTTCAGCACACAGGGCTGGATGTAAGCAATGGTTTCAGAGCTATCAGGCAGAGAAACAGGCAGCCACTGTACGCTTTTGGAAGAGGTTTGGGGCCACCCACACCCCAGACTGCAGAGGCAGACTCAAGGGGCCACGTGGGGTCCCAGCAACTACTAGAAATTACAGAAACGTCTGCGCCTGTGTCAATCAAGCCTTCCAGCACAATACCATTGATTTTATACTTACGAAGAAGTTTCTTCTCACCAATCCGCTGGACTACAGCTAACAGCTGTGGAGGGAAAGAAGAGAGCTCGTGCAAATTAGTATCCATAATAGAAGCAGTAGGATGAGAAGGGAGCACCACCAAATGCGCCCAAGACTCACCCTTTTTTAATTGCATGGGCATATGGCTCCAGAGTTGAACCAGTATTGTGCCTATATAGTCAGGATCCAGAACCCCAGGAATAACCTGGATTCCTTCTTTTGCCGCAGAAAATTTGGGTAAAATTAAACCTGCGACTTTAGGAGGCAGGGGGCCTGCCAATTGAGTGGGCATAAGCACAATTTCACCAGGTAAAACAGAGTCTTTGGTCTCCTGATTGATCAAATCAATGGCAAATTCAGAGGGTGTGTTTATTTTGAAAAGTTTGCAGCAGCAGAAATTAAAGGTGGAAATCTCTCTAATTGTCCTGGCCCGAGAGTGGGGCCGGAATGGAGTTTCCCGAACTCCTGCATTGATTAGCCCAATGATAGCCTTTGCCACATTTCGGGCACTTTTTAGACGGTTTAGCCTTAGAGGCAGCATCATCCTTGTGTGCCCCCCCGCCAGGGGCTCTGCATTGCTTGGCAAAATGGCCTGGGCGCTTGCAATTAAAGCAGTTACCAGTAGGCCTAGTGGTTGCTTGGATTGCGCCGGCAAGCAAAGACATCGCATGGCTCTGGCTACCGACATCCGCACAAGCTTGAATCATATCGGCCAGGTCATATTTAGGGTGATGTATGATTGACTGCAAAGCTTTCTTGCAATCAGTGTTTGCGTTTTCAAAGGCCAATTTTTTCATCAATTCATTTTGAGCAGTGGTGTTATCAATCTGCCTAGTGACTGATTCTTTCAATCTATCTATAAACTGATGGTATGGCTCCGAATGCTGTTGCTTAATATTTACAAAGGAGCTCAGCGGTTGCCCAGAAACAGGGACTTTCCGAAGGCGCGTTGTACACAGGTCGCGGTGCGAACAAAATGTACAGGTGTCAGTGTTGCTTGGGCAGTTATATCAGCAAACTGACCAGCACCATAAAGTTCATTGGCAGTATGTTGCGGATCAGACAGGGCTGAAGCGCTATGTTTAAATTCACTCTCAAACACCACATACTGAGCAGGGGACAAAAGCATGCGCATCAGGTCTTTCCAGTCCTGAGGTAGCATAATGTAACCAGTTGCTATGCCTTCCAGCATTCCCGTCACATAAGAGGATTTCAGACCAGAATCAGCAATGGCTTTCCTTAATTCTCTCATTACAGAATAAGGAAGCGATTCATAAAAAACCTGCTGTTGAGCAGTTCCAGGGTTTGAATAGGTGATAGGGAAAGCAGACGGCATTTCACCTGGCCACTCAGACTCCTCCTCTAAGGACAGGAGCCCTTTCTGCCTTGCCAAAGAGAGCGCAGCGCGCACAGCTCCTATAGAGCAAACAGGGGCTGTGGCAGACGGAGAAGGGATGGGGGGGGAGGAAGCAGGCTGAGGTGGAGGGATGGGGGGGAGGATGCTGGCTGAGGTGGAGGGATGGGGGGGAGGATGCAGGCTGAGGAGGGAGAGACGCAGGGAGGGATTGGCTGGGCTGCAAAGGAGAAGCTAGAAGGGGAGACGCCGAGGGAGACACCTTGGGTCCCAATAATTTGGGCCCTAATTTAGCAACGGCGTCTGCACATTTCTGCCAAGTGAGCAGACAATGAATCGGAGCCCTAGGTTCTGCAAAAAGGGTCTTTCCGATCTTTTGCCAAGTCTCTACGTCCAAAGAACCAGCCTCTGGATAAAAGGGACATTCTAAAGCGATCTCACATAGCAATTGTTCAATTTCTTTTAAGGAAATATTAACACCCACCACTCGCTGTCTAACTAAATAAAGCAATTCTTTAGCATTCTCTTTCTGGAATTTAGTCAATTCCCCTCCCATACTCACGAAGTAGCGCGCTGAGACTTTTCCAGTCGGGTGAAGTATGAGGTTTGGCTGCGTAAGGGATCTGGCACGTCGGGGTCACCAGATGTTGGGTTGAAATTACGACAGACGAGTGGTAGGTGTCAAAGGAGAGGCGTCTCCCCGGGGCAAGCCCCGGGAACTCTCTTTTATTGAATATTACAAACATTGCCACAGGTGTGCTTGTGGCTGATTGGTTGATACAAACACAAAGCATCTTGTTGCTGATTGGTTAACATAGGTACAAGGCGGGAATAACATATAACATCAATCACTGGTAGATTAAAGACTGGGAACGGAGCTGGAACTAGACAGGCATGAAACCTCCTAATTAAATTATAACTAAAGATTGATATTGAGAGAACATAACATGAAGGAATACAACAATCACGTTCCGTAGATGTGGTCAGCAATGCATTAAGAACAGGTCAGGATACACTGTTTCATGAACTCAATGGGAACTGTTCAGAACATTCTCAGACTCTTGTGCAGAAGCAGAAGCGAGACTTCCCAGAATCCAAGAGGAAAGAAGCAAGAGTTCTCATAGTAAGCATAGCAAGATTTCATAGTAAGACTTCCCACAATGCCACAGTTATGTGCAGTAAGAGAAACTGCAGAAAGAAAACTTCCCTTCAAGGGGCCAAAAAGCACTCTCTGGACTTGGTCCTGCAGGTAACACAGTATCCCTAATTCCCATTCCATGGAGCCAGTCCAAGAGGGTACCAAGGTCAAAAACTGTACATGATCAAAAGCTCTACATGAGCCAGTATAACACCCATGGGTTGCCTTCACCATGCATACAGAATCCTTCCCACAAAAAGTGAGCTGTGTAACAAACACACAGAAACAACAACCTGTAAATGAATGCTTCATAGACAACCTTTACCTACTACCGTTTTAAAGGGGACTGAAACATAACAAAAGTATTCAACACACCCAAATAAAATGGAGACATGTGGATGCAGTGGGTGTGAAAAGAAAACCTGGGAAGGACAAAGGACAAGGTATTTATTTATTTTGTAATAAGCAATAAATATCCCAATTGTTGAAAAGAAAAACCCTCAGAAAACCCAAAATGGATAGATTCTTACTGATTTCTGCAAATTATCTGGTTTTTGCTGTTCAAATCAGGCCTCATGATGATTATGTAGCATTTTGGGAAAAAGATGCATCCCAATAACCCAGCACTGGAGGCCAAGATTGAGAAGATCTCCACAGCCACCATGTATTTCCCCTTGGTGCTCAGGTAAGAGGGAACAAAGGACAACCAAACACTGCAAGACACCAACATGCTGAAAGTGATGAACTTTGCTTCATTGAAATTGTCTGGCAACTTCCTGGCCTGGAAAGCCATGGCAAAGCTAACACTAGCCAGAAATCCCAAGTAACCAAAGACACAATAAAACATTGAAATTGAACCTTCATTGCATTTTACTACAATTTCTTCAGTCATTGAGTACATGTCAAACTCTAGAAATGGCGGAGCAGTACAGAGCCATACAGTACAAATGCAGGTTTGTATAAAGGAACAGGCAAGCAGAATAGAGTTTGTGAATGTTTTCCCCACCCATTTCCTCATCTTGGATCCTGGTTTCGTGGCCATGAAAGCCAGAACCACTGTGGTGGTTTTTGCTAACACACAAGACACAGCAAATGAGAAGAGAATGCCAAAAGTAGTTTGTCGTAAGCAGCAGGTCACAATGTGAGGCTTGGCGATGAATAGCAAGGAGCAGAGAAAGCAGAGAAAAAGGCTGATGAGCAGAGAGCATGTTAGGTCCCGATTGTTGGCTTTGACAATGGGAGTGTCCCAATGTTTTGTGAAGACTCCAAGGACCAGAGCTGTGATCAAAGAAAAAGAGAGAGCCAAGACTGCTAAACAGATCCCCAGGGGTTCTGAGAAAGAGAGGAAATGGAGAATCTTGGGAATGCATTGGTCTCTGTTCTTATTTGGGAATTGAGTTTCTTGACATTTGAAGCAATAATTCATGTCTGAAAAATCAAATCAATGATATATCAGTTCCAACAAACAAGCCAACATTTTTCATGAGATATCAGTTCCTATAATCCTGTTCTCCTGACCTGTATCATATTTTGTAATATGAAATGAATGTAGCCAACTCAAAAGAGAATGCCAGGAGGGGATTTATATTTGCCACAGTTCTAGATAATCTTAGTTTTATTATATTCATTAGCAATTACCAGTGAGGGAACGATGTTATGCACAAGAAGCTGATGTAAAGCAAGCTGGAGTAAGCTACACCAAATCCAAACTATGTTCAGGAGTGTGTCTACATCTGTCTAAGCCATCTAAACCAGGCAGAGGGGAAGCCATCATATAAAATAGAACTTGAGTTATACCACCATTTTTCCTGTTGTAGGTTACACTAGGTTCCCTGGTGATGTGACAAAGCTGAATGTGTTTAGGATGCAGCCTAAGTCCTCCCCTCTGGTCCTGCTGTTGGACTGCCCCCTTTCAGGGCCTATGGTGGCAGAAGATCCAGTGGGTCCCATATCTCTGGCTCAGCTGAAGTTTGGGAGTTGCAGTGGCATGTCCTAGTGCTACTAGGAATCTGGGGAGACACAGAAATTTCTTGGGCCAGATAGAGACCATAGCAAGTGGATTTGTATGTGTGTCATAGCTAGGTTGCCATACTTGCTCCTGTGTTTAGGAGAATTAGATTGCTCAAAGGAAGCAACAGTTTAAATGAGTTAGGGTTGTTTTTTTTAATATAGTAGCGTACATGATATTTCCTACCATTTTGATTTGAAATCATCCCACCTGGACATAAAGCACAATCATAGCAACAAAACGGCAATCCCTCCTTCTTTTTTCTGCTGTAGCCTGGATGGCAGTGGTCATTGCACACTGCAAGTGGCAACACCTATCCATAAAAAAGAGAAAGTGTACTTGTCTTTTACAATGTAAACAAGGCAGCCAGCACCAACATTGCTTCTTGTGAATAGGGATGGTGTGTGCGCATAATAGCTGAAGGAAAGAAATCAGAAATTAGGTATTTTTTGAGTAAGTGATTAGCACTGAAAATGAAAGGTGTGTGGGAAGGCTTTGGAATTTCATATCTGGAACCTGTGGCCTGTGGGCCAAGTCTGGCTTCCCACACCAGCCCCATGGCATCTTCTGATATTATCTGTAACACAGCTGAAACATCTGGGGAAACAGTAGAAAACATGAGAAGAAAACTACAAAATGTAAACTATGTAAGCAGCAGTATCGGGAGACATTAGTGGCTGGTCAGATCAGCACAAGCTTTGGAAGACTTTTATGTGGAATGTTTCTGGTGGCCTGTGTAGCCATCTCCTCTAGCTGAGTGCTCTACTCAGTGCTTCCAGGGCACCAATGCTGGGAACAGGATTGCACAGTCAACGAAGGATTAAACACTGTCCTCCTGTCCAACAGCTGACATAACCAGTGATAGCAGCTGTTGGGCAAATGGACATGGAGAAGGGAAAATGGTCTTGCAAGCCAAATTGTACTCTTTGGCAGGACAATACTGACCCATGGGCTGGAGGTTCCCCACTTCTATTATATCTCTTTATATATTAGAATCCATATATGTTAGGTTTAGGGCCATATGTCTGGATTTCAAAGACAGAATTGACATCTCGGCAGAATTGGGCAGTGCTTTGTCTTGGATTTTAGACAAATCAACTGAAAAATTGTGGGGTGGTTTGTTTGTTTTTGGTGTTTTCCTATAAAGAAGCACAATAGTGTATTACTCCAATTGTATATTCCATTGTA